GCGGAGATATGACGTTCCCAAACGACATAACTCCGCGCGGAGATATGACGTTCCAAAACGACATAATATCTCGGGTAATAGCTCCGCGCGGAGATATGACGATCCAAAACGACATAATATCTCGGGTAATAGCTCCGCGCGGAGATATGACGTTCCAAAACAACATAACTCCGCGGAGATATGACGTTCCAAAACGACATAATATCTCGGGTAATAGCTCCGCGCGGAGACATGACGTTCCAAAACGACATTATATCTCGGGTAATAGCTCCGCGCGGAGATATGACGTTCCAAAACGACAAAACTCCGCGGAGATATGACGTTCCAAAACGACATAATATCTCGGGTCATAGTTACGCGGGGAGATATGACGTTCCAAAACGACATAATATCTTGGGTAATAGCTCCGCGCGGAGATATGACGTTCCAAAACAACATAACTCCGCGGAGATATGACGTTCCAAAACGACATAACTCCGCGCGGAGATGTGACGTTCCAAAACGACATAACTCCGCGCGGAGATATGACGTTCCAAAACGACATAATATCTCGGGTAATAGATCCGCGCGGAGATATGACGATCCAAAACGACATAATATCTCGGGTAATAGCTCCGCGCGGAGATATGACGATCCAAAACGACATAATATCTCGGGTAATAGCTCCGCGCGGAGATATGACGTTCCAAAACGACATAACTCCGCGGAGATATGACGTCCAAAACGACATAATATCTCGGGTAATAGTTACGCGGGGAGATATGACGTTCCAAAACGACAAAACTCCGCGGAGATATGACGTTCCAAAACGACATAATATCTCGGGTCATAGTTACGCGGGGAGATATGACGTTCCAAAACGACATAATATCTTGGGTAATAGCTCCGCGCGGAGATATGACGTTCCAAAACAACATAACTCCGCGGAGATATGACGTTCCAAAACGACATAACTCCGCGCGGAGATGTGACGTTCCAAAACGACATAACTCCGCGCGGAGATATGACGTTCCAAAACGACATAATATCTCGGGTAATAGATCCGCGCGGAGATATGACGATCCAAAACGACATAATATCTCGGGTAATAGCTCCGCGCGGAGATATGACGATCCAAAACGACATAATATCTCGGGTAATAGCTCCGCGCGGAGATATGACGTTCCAAAACGACATAACTCCGCGGAGATATGACGTCCAAAACGACATAATATCTCGGGTAATAGTTACGCGGGGAGATATGACGTTCCAAAACGACATAATATCTCGGGTAATAGCTCCGCGCGGAGATATGACGTTCCAAAACGACATAACTCCGCGGAAATATGACGTTCCAAAACGACATAATATCTCGGGTCATAGTTACGCGGGGAGATATGACGTTCCAAAACGACATAATATCTCGGGTAATAGCTCCGCGCGGAGATATGACGTTCCAAAACGACATAACTCCGCGGAGATATGACGTCCAAAACGACATAATATCTCGGGTAATAGTTACGCGGGGAGATATGACGTTCCAAAACGACATAAAACCTCGGGTAATAGCTCCGCGCGGAGATATGACGTTCCAAAACGACATAACTCCGCGGAGATATGACGTTCCAAAACGACATAATATCTCGGGTAATAGTTACGCGGGGAGATATGACGTTCCAAAACGACATAATATCTCGGGTAATGCTCCGCGCGTAGATATGACGTTCCAAAACGACATAACTCCGCGCGGAGATATGACGTTCCAAAACGACATAATATCTCGGGTAATAGTTTCGCGGGGAGATATGACGTTCCAAAACGACATAATGTCTCGGGTAATGCTCCGCGCGGAGATATGACGTTCCAAAACGACATAACTCCGCGGAGATATGACGTTCCAAAACGACATAATATCTCGGGTAATAGCTCCGCGCGGAGATATGACGTTCCAAAACGACATAACTCCGCGGAGATATGACGTTCCAAAACGACATAATATCTCGGGTAATAGTTACGCGGGGAGATATGACGTTCCAAAACGACATAATGTCTCGGGTAATGGCTATGCGTGGAGATATGACGTTCCAAAACGACATAACTCCGCGCGGAGATATGACGTTCCAAAACGACATAATATCTCGGGTAATAGCTCCGCGCGGAGATATGACGTTCTAAAACGACATAACTCCGCGCGGAGATATGACGTTCCAGAACGACATAACTCCGCGCGGAGATATGACGTTCCAAAACGACATAACTCCGCGCGGAGATATGACGTTCCAAAACGACATAATATCTCGGGTAATAGCTCCGCGCGGAGATATGACGTTCCAAAACGACATAACTCCGCGCGGAGATATGACGTTCCAAAACGACATAATATCTCGGGTAATAGCTCCGCGCGGAGATATGGCGTTCCAAAACGACATAACTCCGCGCGGAGATGTGACGTTCCAAAACGACATAATATCTCGGGTAATAGCTCCGCGCGGAGATATGACGTTCCAAAACGACATAACTCCGCGCGGAGATACGACGTTCCAAAACGACATAACTCCGCGCGGAGATATGACGTTCCAAAACGACGTAATAACTCGGGTAATAGCTCCGCGCGGAGATATGACGTTCCAAAACGACATAATATCTCGGGTAATAGCTCCGCGCGGAGATATGACGTTCCAAAACGACATAACTCCGCGGAGATATGACGTTCCAAAACGACATAATATCTCGGGTAATAGTTACGCGGGGAGATATGACGTTCCAAAACGACATAATATCTCGGGTAATAGCTTCGCGCGGAGATATGACGTTCCAAAACGACATAACTCCGCGGAGATATGACTTTCCAAAACGACATAATATCTCGGGCAATAGCTCCGCGCGGAGATATGACGTTCCAAAACGACATAACTCCGCGGAGATATGACTTTCCAAAACGACATAATATCTCGGGTAATAGTTACGCGGGGAGATATGACGTTCCAAAACGACATAATATCTCGGGTAATAGCTCCGCGCGGAGTAATGACGTTCCAAAACGACATAACTCCGCGCGGAGATATGACGTTCCAAAACGACATAACTCCGCGCGGAGATATGACGTTCCAAAACGACATAACTCCGCGGAGATATGACGTTCCAAAACGACATAATATCTCGGGTAATAGTTACGCGGGGAGATATGACGTTCCAAAACGACATAATATCTCGGGTAATAGCTCCGCGCGGAGATATGACGTTCCAAAACGACATAACTCCGCGGAAATATGACGTTCCAAAACGACATAATATCTCGGGTAATAGTTACGCGGGGAGATATGACGTTCCAAAACGACATAATGTCTCGGGTAATGGCTCTGCGTGGAGATATGACGTTCCAAAACGACATAACTCCGCGGAGATATGACGTTCCAAAACGACATAATATCTCGGGTAATAGTTACGCGGGGAGATATGACGTTCCAAAACGACATAATGTCTCGGGTAATGCTCCGCGCGGAGATATGACGTTCCAAAACGACATAACTCCGCGGAGATATGACGTTCCAAAACGACATAATATCTCGGGTAATAGCTCCGCGCGGAGATATGACGTTCCAAAACGACATAACTCCGCGGAGATATGACGTTCCAAAACGACATAATATCTCGGGTAATAGCTCCGCGCGGAGATATGACGTTCCAAAACGACATAACTCCGCGGAGATATGACGTTCCAAAACGACATAATATCTCGGGTAATAGTTACGCGGGGAGATATGACGTTCCAAAACGACATAATATCTCGGGTAATAGCTCCGCGCGGAGATATGACGTTCTAAAACGACATAACTCCGCGCGGAGATATGACGTTCCAAAACGACATAACTCCGCGCGGAGATATGACGTTCCAAAACGACATAATATCTCGGGTAATAGCTCCGCGCGGAGATATGACGTTCTAAAACGACATAACTCCGCGCGGAGATATGACGTTCCAAAACGACATAACTCCGCGCGGAGATATGACGTTCCAAAACGACATAATATCTCGGGTAATAGCTCCGCGCGGAGATATGACGTTCTAAAACGACATAACTCCGCGCGGAGATATGACGTTCCAAAACGACATAACTCCGCGCGGAGATATGACGTTCCAAAACGACATAATATCTCGGGTAATAGCTCCGCGCGGAGATATGACGTTCCAAAACGACATAACTCCGCGGAGATATGACTTTCCAAAACGACATAATATCTCGGGTAATAGTTACGCGGGGAGATATGACGTTCCAAAACGACATATGTGTTTTTTTTTTAATATCTCGGGTAAATATTGTCTGATTTTAAAATGTTGATTCCTACCATCAATTGACATTCAATCAAATTAAACATCGATGGATTCAAAATTGTTAAAGAAAAAAAAACCATTAATTCGTAAAGTCAACGTTTTTGATGATTTTTTGGAAAATTTCCGTCAAATAATGTCCGATTTTGGAATTTCATACCATTTTTGACTCGTAAGGATCAGCTCTAACGATTGGCATCAAAAAAAGGAAATCCAAAATTTGGACCCTAATCGACAAAATGGCAAGGGGTTATATCACGCTTTTTTTCAAAATAGAGGTCAGTGCGAAAATCGAATCTTTTTCGATGATTATACCCTGAACCCATTAAAAATGGGTATAAGGGTATATTGTATTTATGCAAAATCCAAATGTATGTAACAGGCAGAACAGGCCTGTGCAGAACGAGTTTGTTTTCGATAATCGATAACTTACTCCGTTTTCCAAGCAATTGATAAGAATCGATATCGATATCCTGTTTTTTAGGCAATTTTGGTAAATAATAAGAGCTAGAGTCTCCAAACTTTACATATAGCTTCTAAAATAGAATATATATATGCATTGGATGTTGGAAAAAGAGGGTTCAGAGTATCCCCTAGTCGGAAGCTCCCGACTAGAACCTCTTACTTGGTAAAATATATTTTATCTGATTAATCGCCGCCTCTTTTCACTTCCCTCTTCCCACTGCAACAGGTTCAGTTCATTCTCATCATGGTGCACGCCTTCCAATTGCTCTTCATTGACTGCAATTACCCGAAGGCCTTCGTCTGGTGGATCGGAATGCACGCTGTGATGTTCTTTTTCCTGTTCAATGAGTTCTACAAGGCAGCCTACAAAAACCGTCTAATGGTAAGAGTCCCAGTGCCCCACAGCCAAGCTCAAAAAAAAACTCACACACACGAAAACCTATTTTTAAAATGCCGCAAGTCCGGAAATGAGACAGCTTTTGAGGTGCAACCGCATCTCACGTCGCCTATTATGATAATTATCAAACATTTAAAAGAAAAGATAAAAAAACCTCGGGCCTAGTCCGCGACTTCCCACGTTGGCTCAAAGCCATTTAAAGCCATGAAATGACAAACATAAAATGCGTTCGCATCCCAGATGCCGGATTGTGAGTTAATGAAAACGAAAACCCAGCGAAGTCTTATATCATAGGCATGTTCGGTCCATGGTTACGGCCGATGTCTGCACCTGTCACGAGAAGGGGGAGGGGGAGTGGGGCAGCCTATTGCAAACATATAACTGTGGTCTAAATTCATTAACGAAATTTCGTCAAGTGGGTCTCGGGGAACTGGGTTTACGAAGTCCGCTTTGTCCGACACAAAAGCGCCAAAATGACGTCGTTTAATGATCGTTCACGTTCATGAGGCCAACATTGACGTCGACCGCGACTGCGACTGCGACGTCGACTGCGACGGCGGCGACCCACAGCATCCATTGAGCGGTGCGGTGCGCAAGTGAAAGTTGAATGGAAAAGAGGCGAAATACAAATGAAAAGGCAAAAAAGAAAACAAAAATAAATAAAAATAAAAATAATAAACAAACGCTGACAAGGCATCTCAGCTGATTGCATAATGTGCGTTTCTTGCTTTTTGTGGAGCGCACACACACACACAAACACACACGGACACATACGCATATATAATAAAATTTACAACAAATGCGAACGCGTGTCGCATGCGCAATATATCTCATACGCACCGAATGCCCGCAACTAAACCTTTTTTTCACACACACATTTGCAGAAGAAGAACGCGCTGCTGGCTAACGGACACGCCAAGCCGAATGGCTACTGCAAGAGCATCAATGCCCACGACGATCTGTTCATGCCACAGCCGGCGGCAGAGACGACGACGGCGTCGACGGCCAAGGCCAATGGCAATGGCAATGCGACGCTCAGCAACGGGCATGCGAATGGCCTGAAGAACGGCTACAAGCCGCTGCCCAATGGCAATGCGGCCGCCGTGGCCAATGGCAGTGCGCACAAAACGAACGGTATCCTGCTGACAAATGGATTTGGCAATGGCAGCGGTGGCTATGCCACCAAGCTGCTGGACGATGTGGCACAGGAGCTGACACACCGGAAGACACAAAAATAATATCGGGATAATGCGGGTCGGCGCCAACATAGAGCTTAGGATGATAGCGGAAAGCACAGCAAGCGCCAGGAGCATCACTATATGCTCCAACAGTCATAAGCACACACACACACACACACACGCCCACATACACACCTACACATACACACACTCAACAAACTGCATTCATTTACATCCACATAAGCATATATATATACATACATGTTTCGGATATTGTATTGACATTGAAATAACTTTTAGTGAGAATGGAAGTGAAACAATAAGGGGCATATTGTTATTGGTACTAATTATTATTACAGAAATTAATAATAGTAATAATAATAATGCATAATAATGATGCTTGTTTTTACAGCGAGCCATCGCACACATTGCATACAATCTGCTGCACACATATTTTTATGTATGTATGCATGTATGTATGTATATAGCGTATGTGCGCATGTTTGTAGCATCTATATAAATAAAATACATTTTTGTTGCTTTTTTTCTCTTTTTAACTACTTTAGTTGTACAAAGCTTTGTATAGAAAAAACAAACAAAAACAAAAACAAAAACAAAAACAAAAAAACAAAAAATCAAAAAACAAATACAATTTATAAATTGAGCCTAATGCTTATTTAACTGAATTGTGTGTGAGCATGGAATTAATCTATGTATTTAAGCATAGAATTTAATTTATATACATACTTATATATATATATATACTTATACACATATAAATAAAGTAAATGGAAAAATTTAGTTGGTTCTGCGTAAGTCAAACAAGTTTTGTAAATGTATAAAGCGAAAAAAATATCTATATTAAAATAAAATATATGTAATTTAATATTAGTCGCTATAATTGTTGAGGAATTTAAACCAAGTCAAGCAAAAACAAAACAGAAAAAAAAACAGTCACAACTATTTAAGTCAAGCAACAAATACTACAAATACCAAGAAATTTGTGCTTCGTTTCAATCATAAACGACCACAAATAAACAAAAAGAAGAAAACAAAAACAAGCCCTACCCACATGTTTAATTAATTTATTACAAATAAATTATGCCACTAAACTGGAAAATTATAAAGTATGCAACTTTAGCTATTTGATAACGTTGCATGCAACAACATACAAAATCAAGAATCCACACAAAAGAAGAAAAAAACCATCTGAAAACCACGAGCATTGATAACAAAAGCAACATTGTTAAACGCATAAAATAAAAGTAAATATAATAAAAAAACAAATAGACTTTAAGTCCCACACTCTAGGTTCTATAGGTATTCAATTGCAATACGTTTTGTATGCGTAGTAGCCATTTTTGTGGAGCTGGAGCAGTATGTAAACAACACTATGTATGTAATTGTAATTATTATTATTATACAGAGATCACAAAAAAAAATACGAAAAACTAAAATTATGTGTAGAAAATTAGGCAGAAACGGAGTGGAGCATTTTTTCAATAAAACACTAAAAAAAATACGCTTATGCAAATTCAAACTTCTTTTGTCTATGGAATTGGGTTTTAATCTCACTTCATTTAAATTTTTAGCGTTCAACCTTTTTTTTTTATAGCTCAATATATTTAACCAAATGACACGAAACGTTTTACCCAATTTTCGGGGCATAAAATACAGTTATAGGTGAAACAATCAACTCGTTAGGGTCTCTATATGATTTTTATTAACATTTATAATTCGGATGTGTTAAGATTTTACATATTCCCGCGTTATACGTCGTGTTGCGTGGCGTACAATCCGGCTGCGGTCTATAATTTTAACTTAAAACTAAGCTTGTTTGCTATGAGCTAAGCTGGGTTAAGCTGTCCATAAGCGGTAGGCAAAAAGTAAAATGTAGAACACAGATGTCAACTACTTAAGTGATGGGCAATCGTAATGCCCTTAGACTTATGCAAGACCATTAAAAACATAAAAATTCTCAAAATAAAAATTATTAACAGCAATTGGTAGTCATTGTACTTATGTAAAGAAGAGTTATTATAAAACGTAATCTGTTTCGATTGTGGTCTATTAGCGTGTGTGTGTGTTTGAAAAACGAGAGATGGTTGCGCTGATGTTGGCCTATTAGAGTTTATCTACGTGAGTAAGCAGCCAACGGCGCCTTGCTTATTACTGTTGAACTGCAGATTGGAGATTTTAAAAACACTTATGTCTATGCCAAAAAACGATTTCAGTTGCGACGAGTGCGGCGACGTGCATTACCGGCAAAGGGCGTGGCATTAGGCGCGCCCGGATGCTGCCCGCTATACAGATTATCCAGAAACTCATGCAACGTGGCCTCACTGCGAATTAACAAATATTGAATAGCTGATCCTGATTGATTAAGTCTGGAGCGCTTACCTCACGCCACTGGCTGGGCCGCCCGGATGATGTGCATGCGACTGTGGTTGCTGCTGGTGTGGATGTTGCTGCTGCTGCTGTTGTTGCTGCTGCTGCTGTTGTTGCTGCTGCTGCTGTTGCTGCTGAGCGCCACGCACAATGCGATACTGTACCATATGCGAATTGGGCTCTAGATGCGAGAGCGCACCCTTCTGACAGTTGGCCCATTCGGTTATGTCATATACCTTGCCATCCATTAACGCCAAATATTTCCAACGCAGACCCAGCATGCTCGTCTCCGCCCATATGTCGCCCTGCCAAATGAAATACAGGTTAATATTAATGCCGAGCGCGTATGGAAGAGCTACTACTCACATCCTTGGCCGAGTGCCGTATCTTACAGGAGGCGCATTCGCGCGCCGCATAATGAGGACGTTCAGTTAGCTTGCGAGGATGGCGCTGCGCACAGGTGCTACATCTATGGGTGATAGAGAAAATGGTTTTGAGCTTGTTCAGCCTTTCGCAATTGCTTGTGTCGCTTACCTTATAGTATTGGCTGCCTCGGTCATTTTGGTTTGCAATTGCGATAGCAAATCGTGCAGCTCCGTCCACGCCTTTTCCGCGTGCAATGCCTCGGCAATGCTTTGGTCATAGGCAAGACGATTTTCCTGCAAGGAATGAATGTAAATGAATACAGCATCTTATCCAAGCAGCATTTTGTTTAACTTACCGGTTCGCCAATCAATTCAAATGCACGCTGCAGCACCTTGAATGCCTCCTCGGCGCCGGCCTGCTTGTTTTTGTCCGGATGCACCAGCACGGCGATTTTCTTATAGTGTTTACGTATTTGCTCCTGTGGGCTATCTGGCGGCACGCCCAATATACTGCAATGAAATATTTAAGTTAGTTTAATATGTATTTTTATTAAGTTGTCCTAACAGTACATACCTGTAGGCATCCTTCCCCTTGCAGTTGAGCAGCGAGTACATGGCCTCTTCGCCAGTCTGTGGCAAGCGACCCGTTTTAAATGCCTCCGCGCTGGCCTCAGGCGGCTTGCGCTTGTAGAAGCGACGCCAAAATGCCCAACGTGAGTTTTTTCTAAAGCGTGCATCAAAGCGACGCCAATAATTGCGCCACCAGATGCTCGGCTTGCCGGAATTCTGCTTCAGTTCCTTGTGCAGCTGGCGTGCATAAGCCACGCCTGCCACATACGCTGTGGTCAGCCGCTCGTACGCCATGCTGCAACCGAGCACAACAATATCATAGACCAAATAGAAGAGCCAGGTGATCAGCTTGAGCGTGTATATCCACCAGGTGTGCAAAATGCGCTTTGCTAGTTCATAATTGCGATTCGAGGCGCTCGCATGCGCTGGCGAATTGGATGACCCATATGCGCCACCCCGATTGCGCTTCGAGGAATACGAGTACGAGCTAGAATTGGAATTTAAATTCGCATTCGATGAGCCGGAGTAGCGTTTCGATGATGAGGAATTGCCATTGTTGTTGCTGTTGCTGATGTTGTTGTGGTGGCTGTTGTTGTTGCTCGAGCCAGATGAATTATTGGAATTATTCGAATTGGCGTTCGAGAAATTTGCATGCGAGCTGCTATTATTGCTGCTGCTGCTGCTGCGATTGTTGTTGCTGGCGTTGTTTGCCTTCCGGCTCGATAAATTGTTATTGCTGCTGCTGCTGGGTAAGCTGCTGTTGCTGCTAACGATGTTGCCACTGTTGTTATTAGTTGCCTTATTGTCGTTGGCTTTGGCGCTGTATCCACTTTGGTTGTTGCTGCTCGTGTTGTTAATAAATTTCATTTGGCCAGGACGCTTCTTTTCGGCATTCGGTTTACCAGACCTCAGCGCAGGCTGCGACTGTTGCTGTGGCGGTGGTTGTTGTTGCTGTTGTTGTTGCTGCTGTTGCTGTTGTTGTTGTTGCTGCTGCAGCTGCTGCTGCTGTTGTAGTTGTTGCTGTTGCTGCTGATGTTGTATTGGCTAGCGACGAATCAATAAAGAACAAATTTAACAGAAAAGTCAATTAAATAATCAACTGACTGGAGAATAGCCCACAAAATTAATGTTAAAACTCTTGGATAATTGATGCCGCAACTGAGAGTTACCTCAATGTAGCAGGGAAATAACAGAAAAAGGGTTTGCTACAGTTAAAGTTAAAGTATAAACTAAAAACTATCCTAACTATAACGTTTATGCCTTTGGATTTACCGCTTGTTGTGGTTTCTGCTGTGCTCCCTGGCGCCTCTTGCTGCGATGTCCTGTAGCATTGCCGGACCCATCTTTGATTTCGTGTAGTGGCGAGCGCTTGGAATTATTGCGCAACTCCCGATTACCGTTGCCATTGCCATCCTCCTTGCCTCCTCGTCGTTGCGTTGGATGCCCATTCTCCAAATTGTTGACTGAACGCGCTTCAATACCCGCATTGCTCCTGGCAAGCATTGTGCCCGAACTACGCAATGTGCTGCCCTTGCTCAAAACATCTGAATAGGACATGGGCATAGGTTTTACTTCGGCTACAATGCGTCTTTTGCCCTCGCTCAAGCCTGGCACGACTATTGGCGTTTTTTTAAGGGCAGCTGGTGTTGCTGTTGCTGCTGCTGCTGCTGCTATTGTAGTTGTTGTTGTAGTGCTTAAAGTTGGATTCGGGTTGACTTCTTTGTGACCAGAGCTACCAGGAGCTACTTCGACGCTTTTGGGCGGAACGACCTTAGCATGATACTCAGCTATGGGCTGCAGCTGCTGCAACTTCACAGGTGATGTCGACTGTGGTGGCGATGTTGTCGATTCTATGGGCGTGGCTTCAACATATGCGTTAGCATTTTCGGGTGGCTCGCCACCAAACTGTATATAACTGCTACCCGTTAGATTTGGCGACCAGTTATTTACAAGATTATTGATAAACAAATTAGCGCTATTGCTCGGTGCAGCAGCCGTAGAGACTGCCGCAGGAACATCATCAACCTGATGGAATTGTGGTGTCTGCTGTTGTTGCTGCTGTTGTTGCTGTTGTTGCTGCTGTTGTTGCTGTTGCTGCTGTTGCTGTTGGCTTACAATATTCATCTCGGGCTTTGGCAGTAACGGATTGGTGGCAAACAATTCATAAAGTGGCGTCTGCTGTGCTGCTGACGGCTGCGCCTGTGCCTGGTTCTGTGCAGCCGTGGCCGCTACTTGGTGATGTTGATGCTGGTTCATTGGTGCCATGTTGATATGCGAGAAATTGGCCGCCGCTTGCTGAGCGTAAACATCGTTGACAGCATTCTCTGGACAGTGATAAACCTTAAGAAAATTGCCATGACCAACAGGCAACACGGAGTAAGTTTCGGTTTGACCAGGTGGTCCGGAGTATGCCAAGTTGTACAGATATTCATTATAGACGTGTGCAGATGGAGCTTGCTGTGGTTGTGGTATCATAGGTGGCTGATGATGATGTGGTTGGTGTGGGTGATGTGGGGGAAATTGAACACCCATGTGTGGCGGCCACATCAAGGGCCCCTGCGCCTGGCCCTGTTGCTGTTGATGCAACAAATGTTGTTGTTGCTGCTGTTGTTGTTGCTGTTGTTGTTGTTGTTGTTGTTGTTGATGCTGATGTGCCAGAAAATTGGCATAATCCGAACTGTGTGGTGGCAAATTGTGGTAGGTGGCGGCAATTGCTTCGTCCTCGACCATACCCCCCGAGCAGATGCGCTCATCCTGATGTGCCCGCGCCGTCATATCCCGCAGCACTGCGCCAAAAAAAAGGCCCGTGCCAGTGCCTTTTCTTGCACTGACGCTATTGTCCTATTAGAATTTCATGCGATTGTGCGTTTCGCTTGCTTGGCGATGCATTTATGAGTTGCTGAAGTTGTTTGCAAATAACGATTGCAAACGCTGCCACACAAATTGAAATACGTTGCTACACTTCTTTCTGCAATCACTTTTAACACAAATAATATATTATGCTTGCGTATGTGAGTGTATGTGGCACCGATGCCACTCACAAGAAACGCATGCAGGGACGCACACAGTATACATTTATCGATTAACTCGAATTTGCGAATTCATTTTTGAATATTCTAGGTGGTAGCTGTTTATATTTGAATAAGTATAATGTTTGTCAGCCCTTTATATTTACGGCTGTTATATATTGAATCTTATCAAAAATGTCTAATACTTGTAGCATTTCATTAGGAGCTAAAACAGGTCTTTTTAATCCGCACAATATGGCAACCTTGCCTATGTACCTGTTACTTTTGTTTTGTTTTAATACGTATTTTTACTTTATTAAAGTTTGGGATGGCTATTCATAAAAAATTTGTAACATTGTAAATAAACGATTATGCGTCAATTTAGCATAGGTAAGTTAGCGACGTTCTAAATTAAAGTGCGTCAAATTAAATTAGTTCAGGGTATACAAATATAAGTTAATAAAGATATTTAGTGGAAAATCTGGTAGTTTTGCACTGCACATCAGGTATTTTGACAGTTCTTCAATATGGTCATACAACTTAAATGAAAAACCCAACACTGATGATTGCTTCTCTCTTGGCATTTTATTCCCTATTCTCATTCGCAATGGCCGCCAACAAGGAACGCACTTTCATCATGGTTAAGCCCGATGGAGTCCAAAGAGGACTCGTCGGTAAGATCATCGAGCGTTTTGAGCAAAAGGGCTTCAAATTGGTAGCAATGAAGTTCGTCTGGGTAAGTAAAGCCGGACACATAATTGAATTAAGAAATCAATAAGTACGCGTGTGCAATTGTCGTGTTTAACCTCAACATGGCATGGGGTCGCTCTTGCTTACATTATAAATGACCGGTTGAGGTTATATATATGTATGCATACATCTGGTTTTAGAGGTCATGAAAATGATAGCATTACATATTTAATTACAGGCTCAAAAGGACTTGTTGGAGAAGCACTATGCTGATCTGTCTAGCCGCCCCTTCTTCCCCGGTTTGGTCAACTACATGAACTCCGGTCCAGTGGTTCCCATGGTGTGGGAGGGCTTAAATGTGGTCAAGACCGGCCGTCAAATGTTGGGCGCTACCAACCCAGCTGATTCTCTGCCTGGCACCATCCGTGGTGATTTCTGCATCCAGGTTGGCCGCAACATCATTCATGGCTCTGACGCTGTTGAGTCCGCCGAAAAGGAGATTGCTTTGTGGTTCAATGAGAAGGAGCTTGTCAGCTGGGCTCCAGCCGCCAAGGACTGGATTTACGAATAGATTTAGCATGCAAGTGCATGAATCTGTACGCCACTCACATAAGTCTAACAGCGATTCTTCTAAAGAATAAAAATTCCACCTTATATATACATACGTATGTTTTATTCACATTTATATCGGGCCCACTCTGCAGTGGGCATATCGGTTGGCAATACCCAACCGTGGGGTATGCTGCTGCCACTCTTGCCGTAACTTATATAGGAATCCCAAATGAAGCTAAATGGCAAAAGACGTGTTAGCAAATTCGGCCACTTTAAATTCTCATCAAACTTACCGCCGTTGTATCAATTCTTGCGTATTTCGCTTTTTGTCCATATTCCCTTGTCTTAAAGACAGCGAAGAGCTTCCAAATATAACTCGGGCCCACTGCGCTTCGCAGTTGGTAGTGGATTCTTTATTGATTTCATCGGTACACTCCTGCAGCACACTTCGCCAAACTGTGCGCATTCTGGATAGTTTTTCAGTCAAGTCTTTGTTGCCACCGCGAGCCTTGTACAGTTTTTCCAGCAAGTCAAATGTGTGCAACATATTTGTGGCATCGTGCTGTTTTTTGAGTGTGATGTGCTCCGCTTGCCTCTGAACCGGCAAATGTGCTGCAGCTGCTACATCTGACTCGGAAGGTAGCGCTTTATCCTTGGCATTTTCTGGATTATCCCTTTTTACGCTCCTTTGCAGCTTGTCTCTTTTTTTGGCCCGTTGCCGTCTTCGTTTACGCTGGAGTTGGATGCGTGCAATTCGGTCACACGGCAACTCATTCAGTTTCGCTAGCAATTTCGTGGTCTGCTCTTTCAACTGGCGAGACTTCTTCAAATCCAAATCATCTGGTGACGCATTGCTCAAACCTTCCAATAACTGTAAATTTGCTATGACATTGCTAATATCTGTCTTTATTTCGCTTAGTTTGTGGACTTGCGGCATTTTATCTACATATAAGTGTTGGTTAACGTTTTATTAAGAGCGGTGTGCTTGTATTGAATTTTAACAGGGAAGAGTAAGGTTATTATGTGGATGCATAGAATCAGCTGATAGCCTAGGATTTTAACGCAGATTCGGCTTCTACTAGCACCTCGGAAGCTTTTGTGTAGGCCTCCGTTTCCTTGAGATCCAGTTCATCCTGTAAATATTTTTGTAGCACTTCGAACTCCTTTTGCAATCTGTAAAAAATCACACCATTATTGTTGACCGCAAATTGGTGTCATTAAATGATGACTCACCTGCGCTTTGAGTCTGGTATCATCATTTGGCACTCCTGTATCACCTCTTCCTGCTTGCGCAGCACATGATCATCGGCGCCTTCATTTTTGAATTTATCCAGACGAGCCAGCTCTGTGTTTATCTCCTTCTCATAAACTGTCTTCTCCTTGGCCAGGCGCTTCACAACACCCGTTTTAATAACCAACTGCCTAATACGTGGATCTGCCATTTCTGTAATTTTATTGGTTTATTATTACTTGTACACCTCTAAATAAGCTTTAGTTGTCAATATTAATTGACGTTTTTAAATTATTTTATAAATTTGTCGCCAATTTCTGCACAGCCGGCTGAGCTTTCTTGTTGTATTGTTTAGAAATGCCGCCTGTGAGTCAGCTTGCAGCGTTGCCACTCTTTCCAGCTTACCTTGTGGCCATTCACAATAGTTGACGTTCTGGAAAAAATGTTACGTATCAAACGAGCGGCAGTTCGAATATTAAATTCAAATAGTTTACTGTTAAAAGTAGATCCAGGTTATAGCTTTTTAATTTATTAACTAAAATATAGTAAGCGGTCCATGGGTTCGACCAACCAATTTTTGACTTTGTTAACAGCGTACAAAAATAAAAGCTAGAACCTGTCAATCGAAACAACCATTACATTGTGTGTAGTTATTACGGTTAAGCATTCTTTATTTTTATTTTGTCAATTAATACATTAAAAGATCATTTTTGTTTGTTTATTAAGCAACGTTTTCTGTATCCATGAATGGTTTTCTGTTGTGGGCTACATTAATAAGTTTCATAGTAATGACAATGAATGCACTATGTAATGTTTTGTTATGTGGTAAATCGTTTATGAGAAACATTTGGTTAAAGTATGGAAATGCCAATGAGACTCGATAAAACATTTAGAATGTTTACAAAACCGCATGATTATGTTTTATGAATATTTTTATAATACTTCTTAAGCATTTGTCTTTTTTTTTTTTCTTTTTTGGGATAAATTTTGAATTCATTGCGAATGTAGTCTTGGGGTTTTTTTTAAGTATTGTTATTAGTTGCAGAGTGGTTTATAACTAAATTCTGAAATTGCTTTATATAATATAGATTTTAAATCGAATGCCTCCGACTGACTTATCAAAAGTATAAAAAGTGTTTAAAATCTTTTGATTGAAATAATGATTAATGATTTAAAATTATGTTTAGTGATGGATAAAGGAGTGACAAGTGGGGTCGCAGTGAGGGGCTGGGCTAGCAGCAAACTCCAGTGGCGATTATATTCTGATTATGTTCAATGCGAGACTGTTTCCTGCGAAACGATTTGCGGTGGCGAAACAAGTTTAGATAGTTATAGTATATAATGATTATGAATATGATGGCGACCGATTTTGAGTACGCATGCGGGAATGATTCCAGACGACCAATGTGTCCAGGCGCCTCCTCGCCGTCATCACGTACAGCTGGCGTGAGGTGGATGGTGGATGTGCCTAGAGGTCGACCCATTATTGTTGGCGTACATATACCCTCGCCAATTGTATGTGTGTTTATAATAAATTGTAATATTTCCTCAAGTTTATATAATATTTGAATGCAGCAGTAAATAGTTGTAGTTAATGATGGTGATTGATACGCCACGGACTTTGTGTTTAGCCCCTGATTCGGTTTTGATCGTCTATGATTAATAGATACTATAAATTTTAAGTGTGTTGTTGCTCTTGCCATTTGTTGTTCGAGTGTTTGAGTGTTGTTGTTTTTGTTGTTATTTGAATTACAAGTCTGCAGACACCCTAGTTATTTCTTCTTCTGCGCCTTCTCAGCTGCTTTTGTTACTTTGCCCGAGGTCGTTTCTTTAAAGTTCACCGACTTGATAACACCGACAGCCACAGTCTGACGCATATCGCGCACTGCAAACCGACCCAGCGGCGGAAATTCTTGGAAGCTTTCAACGCAAAGAGGCTTGGACGGAACCAGCACTATGATGGCCGCATCGCCCGATTTGATGGCCTTCGGTTCGGTCTCGGTGGTCTTGCCAGTACGGCGATCACACTTCTCCTTGATCTCGGCAAACTTGCAAGCAATGTGTGCCGTATGACAATCCAGCACAGGGGTATACCCATTAGCAATTTGCCCAGGATGATTGAGAACAATTACCTATTAAAAACGCAAATATTAAGAATGCAATTAAAACGATTAACTTTCGTATGTAAATCTTACGCACCTGAGCAGTAAAATCGGCAGCACCACGTGGAGGATTGTTCTTCGAATCTCCGGCCACGTAGCCGCGACGCAACTCCTTTACCGAAACGTTCTTAACATTGAAGCCCACATTGTCGCCTGGCAAGGCCTCGGTCAGTGCCTCGTGATGCATCTCAACGGACTTGACCTCAGTAACCAAATTAACGGGCGCGAAATTTACCACCATGCCTAGAACGAAAGGTGGGCAATTTTGTAAGTAGCAACAGAGCTACACACAGCTGGAGTGCTAACATACCTGGCTTGAGAATACCCGTTTCCACACGACCGACTGGCACTGTGCCGATGCCACCAATCTTGTAAACATCTTGCAGAGGCAGACGCAACGGCTTGTCAGTGGGCCGCTGGGGCGGCATAATCGCGTCCAGAGCGTCAATCAAGCACTTGCCCTCCGTTTTGCCCTCTTTGCGTTCAACGGTCCAACCCTTGAACCAGGGCATCTTCTCGGATGGTTCGAGCATGTTGTCGCCATGCCAGCCGGAAATGGGCACAAAAGCGACCGATGCCGGATTATAGCCGATCTTCTTGATGTACGAGGAGACCTCCTTTTTGATCTCTTCGTAGCGTGCCTCGCTATACGGCGGCTCCGTGGAATCCATCTTATTAACGCCCACAATTAGCTGCTTAACGCCCAGCGTAAAGGCCAACAGCGCATGCTCACGCGTCTGGCCATTCTTTGAGATGCCGGCCTCAAACTCGCCGGTGCCAGCGGCAACAATTAGCACAGCACAATCGGCTTGCGAGGTGCCGGTAATCATGTTCTTGATGAAATCTCGATGACCGGGCGCATCAATGATGGTCACATAATACTTGGCTGTCTCGAATTTCCAGAGAGCAATATCGATGGTAATGCCGCGCTCGCGCTCAGCTTTCAGCTTGTCCAGCACCCAGGCATACTTGAACGAGCCCTTGCCCATCTCCTGGGCCTCCTTCTCGAACTTCTCAATTGTACGCTTATCGATGCCGCCGCATTTGTAAATCAAATGGCCGGTGGTGGTCGATTTTCCCGAATCGACATGGCCAATAACAACGATGTTAATATGAATCTTCTCCTTGCCCATGATGCTATGTAATCAACGACTCCTGGGTCTCTGAGCTCCAATTATACGTTGTTTTCCTTTTAGTTGTTTTATAGAACCTGAATGCAAATTACATACACACACATATATATATTTATATATATAGAGAGATATATATATATGTATATCAAATTTTGAGAGTGGGTGACAATATAGAGAGTAAGAGAGAAAAAGCAAAGGCGTGTGCTATAAGGACACGAGTGAGCATAGTCAGGACTTGCATATGTATGTGTGTATGCTTCTAGGTATATGCATGCGTGAGTGTATTTATGTATGACATAGGTGTGGGTGTGGGCGCGACTCTGTTCGCAGTGTAGAGACTGAAATATTACAACTATGTAGGTGTATGTACAGTGAAAGCTTTTCGAGCGGATGTCTACTGTCCTAAGATTTCTGTCCTGCTAGGATGATGTCCCCATGAATGATAACTCAACCGAAAATATCATTTAATTTTTATATTTCTATCAATTGAGACCAACCAAATTGACCGGTTTAAGAAGTTGCACTGTCCAATATTGGAGCCTTCACTGTACACACATTTAAATTGACTTCTTTTGCTATAGAAACTCACCTGAAAATTGCTTGAAATTTAACTTGCTGCTTACAGGCGCTCCAATTGGCGATGCACTGCAAATAGAAACAAAATTATTTACCATTTGTCGAGTAATAGGATATAGAACTTAGTATAAGTGACGACAGTTAAAATTATTATTTGTACGATTTAGTTATATGAATATTAAAATTACCAATTGCGCACGACACGTCTGAACGTTAGTAAAGGCCCGGAAAATCTGGACTTATCGTCGTATGCAAGCAAGTCTCAATGCTCGACAAGAAAAATCAATAATGAACCCAGACAAACGACGAGAGCCTCTGGAGCTGAAAAGCGAGCCAGCCGAATGACGACGTTGCCGAATGCACTCCCCACACGTCCCTCCTCCCCCCTCCTCGACAGCGTGCAGTACACGGAAAATGTACGGCCCGCAACCTTTAGGCCGGCGGCATTTGCCCAAGAAATGAAACCAGGTTAGCTATGCATACACCTGCTGACAATGGGCTTCATAATTGTAGTGTGGCAATAATTAAACAACAATTATAAATCAATTTATTTTAAGAGGCAAATAGCAGGAGGAGGGGGGTAAAAATCAATGCTGGTGGTGAAATCGGATTGCAACGGTATTTGTAAATTTTGCTCACCGCCGGCAGCTGCCGCAGTCGTGAGCTCTTTTCTGTGTTCTGAACGGAAAATTCGCGATTCAAAAGGGTGAAAAACTGCACATGCACACATACACACACAGCCATGCAGAGGCAGAATTGCCGCTGCTGCTTCGTGCTGCACTTGGTGCTCATCGTTTCCGTTGGTCGCCGTCGTCTTTGATAAACTTGCAAAAACAACAAGGAGACAAACATATTTGCATGCATACATATGTGCGTCTGTGTGTGTACTGGCTGTTTAGCGTGATTTATTTTCTAGCCTAGAAACAATTTTTACTTGCACTTTTTCTTTAGTTATTTTTAACTACACACGAGTGTATGTAATTGCATTTGCACACAAGTGCAAATTGAAAAGAAGAAGAACCTTAAAGGGAAATGTAAAAATACTTTGCAATGCAGCCTCTTTGCAGTACATTAACAGCACTTAAATCTGATGAAATATACATACACATGCATGAAGTATGTATGTATGTATTATGTTAACTCAGTTTAAATTTGGCAACATAACTGTGCAGCAAGCTCACGCACTCACACACGCTAACACATGGGAAACTGCAGACTTCTGCAGACACGGCCGCCATTTTGGAATTTGCCAGAGAGCTGGGCATACTTACATATGTATGTACATACATACATATATCTATGTCTATGCATGTATACTGTGCGTAATATATATGTATGAATACATACATATATAGACAGAATTTCTTCACACACATCCATAGATATACATATGTATGTTATGCATTTAAAAAATTAATATTTGTTATTTTTTGCGATCAATTTCGCATGCTTGTATATATAGGCATTTAGATACCGTTACATACATACATAAACGTGTATGAAGGCACGTATTATGCAAAACCTCACAATCGAGACACCGGCCGGTAAACACACGAAATTTAAGCCGACTCTCACACTTTAAACAGTTCGAAATACACAACAATAATAAACATTTAAAGCAGCCGGAGAGCTTTTTTGTCATTAAGCACACAAAAAATTAATCGATGGATATTAGTGTAAGCGTTATTTAAGGATTTTATGAAAGCTGCACGGACCTTCTATGTACGTGCACTTACCTCGAAACCAGAAAACGGAAAGACCGAAACCGTCAGAGACAGGCAGTCGGTTGACGATGAGACCGAGAGACGATCCGAGCCGATGCACGATGATGCAACGCCGAATGGCTGACAGAGTAGCCACCAACTGGGGCAAGGGATAGACATGGGATGACAAAATTGAGAATTGCGGGTAATTTTAAAAGTCAACAGTGATTGACAAGCCAATGTATTTTTGATTACGCTAGCAAGAAGAAGAACACTTGAGTTGCCGTTAGCTGTTCGTGGCGGTCAGCTGTTTTCCTTTTAATGTGTGTAACGAACGTTGATTTTATTACGGTGGAATATCTATCCTCGAGCCAGCATATTTTATTGAACGAATGCTTTCAAAGAAGACATTCAAACGATGCTGTTTTGACAGTATTTTTACACATAAATGCTTTCTGTTGAAAAAAGTATCTATAGTACTTTGAAAGGTATCACATTAAACAAAAATTGAACTTAAATCTTCGGTAATCGGCAATCTGCCATTTGTGGTGAAACTTAAATGGGAATGAAAATTTCCCTTCAGTTTAATCAAAAATTTCTGTAATATACTTTAATATAATCAACACAGAAATAAAATTTCTATCAGAAATTATTTATACATTTGTATACATCTATACGTATATGCTTAAATTCTATTCTAGGCCACAGCAATAATCATTTCCATTCACTGTCCGACTCGTATTCTGGCCAATCTGGCTTAACGCCCGTAGGAAGCTTTTTCTGCTCCAGATATTCATTGAATTGTTCTGGTATTGACATGAATCTACGTATTTTCAATCGAAATTGCCTCCATGTCCATTGGCCATGATTGCGACGATCTGTCACCATGGCCTTGTAGTTGAACTTGTGTTTGTCGAGGAAATACGAGAGCTCCTTTACCACACCCTTGGGTAGTCTAAAAATGCATGGTATTTCTAAAGCATATTAACCAAGAAGAGATATCAAATCGGCTTACCTGAACTCTGGATCGGCTCTTCGATCAATTGCCATCTGTTCTAGGTCTTGGACGACATGCCCGCGTTTTGGTTTTTCAGGCTCTGGTTCTGCGGCCTTAGAGCCTAGCGCCGCCAGCTCCTCTTCATCGAGCTGCTCCTCCGTGAAACCATTTACAATTTTAACAGCCTCAAGCCTTTCGCGCTTATAGTTGGGTATGCCCACCGACTTGTTTGGATCGCTAGCCAATCCCATTTCACTGAAATTGGTACCCACGCGTTTACTTTCCAGCCACAATTTCTTCATTTCGGGACTGCCAAGTGAACATGTTTTATTAAGGGCAACTAAATATGCTTGCGCGCTGGGTAACTTACTCTTTGATGTTTCCAGTGGATTTTCGTGTTTTGTTCATTGTTTTGCGATTGACATTGTAGCGGTAACGCTTACGCACGTGATTCTTGCGAATTTTCATCTTTCGTCTTTAAAATTGTTAACAACGAATGCTATAAAAACAAAACAATTGCACGTGTTGCGGCTGTATGCTATTGAAGTTTGAAACAATCGAAATTAGGATTGCGGCACGTTATTTCGTTTGTAATCTCATTATCGATAGCTTAACAGCACAGAAAGTGACTGCTATCGATAGGCCTCGTTTAAAGTAAACATATCGAAATATCGATGTTAACAAGAAAATATGATTTGAATGGTACGGAATATTCATGCATTTCTATGTTTGATTTAAATGTATGACAAGAATTTATCCCATGATAAGATTATATGCACTTGTGATATGTTGCTGCGATTCATTGATTTTCAAACATCTTAAATGGCGACCAGCAAAGACCGTCTGCCGCCAACATCGATACATCAACGTTTTTAATGTTTGCTCACATCACTAATTTTATATTTATAAGGAAAGATGCGCGACGAGATTTTGGATCCGCATAATTTGGTTAAAAACCGAGAAATATTATACCGGTTAATGATAAGGTAAGCTGCAATTGACCACGCATAACATGAATAAGTTATTTAAAGACTCTATTTGTAGCCAGTTAATGTACGATGGCTTGGAAAAATTTGCAATGGAGCTGTCAATGCTGGTCAAGGCGGATCAATGTGCGCCAAGTGAACGTCTGCTGCATGTCATGATATCGGGCATGCAGACAATGGCTGACAAAGATAAAACCAACACGGATGATGTGCTGCCTGGCATTGATCTAGAATTTGAGCCGGAGGCATCTGCACTGGCGCCAGAGCCGCATTCCTATGAAACTGCATATGTTACGTCGCACAAGCAGGCTTGCCGTGCTGGTGCCTTCAGCTTTGATGGCTCTCTGGTAGCCACGGGCAGTGTGGATGCTAGCATCAAAATATTGGATGTGGAGCGCATGCTGGCCAAATCGGCGCCAGAGGATATCGAGCCTGGTCGCGAACAGCAGGGTCATCCAGTTATTCGCACACTGTATGATCACACGGATGAGGTGTCTTATCTGGAATTTCATCCGAAGGAGCATATACTAGCGTCGGCCTCTCGCGATGGCACCGTGAAACTCTTTGACATTGCCAAGCCTTCGGTGAAGAAGGCGCACAAAGTACTCACCGACTGTGAGCCGGTGCTATGCGTCTCCTTTCATCCAACTGGGGACTACATAGCCATTGGCACAGAGCACAATGTACTGCGTGTTTATGACGTGCACACGACGCAGTGTTTTGTTAGCGCAATTCCATCGCAGCAGCACAAGGCAGGCGTCACGTGCGTAAAGTATTCGCCCACAGCAAAGCTCTATGCAACGGGAAGCTTTGATGGCGATATCAAAATCTGGGATGGCATCAGTGGGCGGTGTATTAACACTATTGCTGAGGCGCACAGCGGGGCGGCCATTTGTTCCTTGCAGTTTACGCGAAACGGAAAGGTAAATCGTTACTGATGATTATATGATTACCAGTTCTAATACGTACCCATTTTTGTTGTAGTACTTGCTTTCATCTGGCATGGACTCGATTGTTTACCTGTGGGAGCTATGCACCAGTCGACCCATACAGACATATACGGGCGCCGGCACCACCGGCAAACAGGAGCATCAAGCGGAAGCTGTATTTAATCACACCGAAGACTATGTACTGTTCCCAGATGAGGCGACCACGTCTTTATGTTCCTGGAACTCGCGTAATGGCTGTCGCTTGACACTGAACTCTCTGGGTCACAACGGACCTGTCCGCTACATAACCCATTCGCCCAATGCGCCCGCTTTTCTCACCTGTTCCGATGATTTCCGAGCACGTTTTTGGTATCGCCGTGCTAATAATCAATAGTTGCTAGGATTCTAATAAAACTTAAAACTATTTTACTGTTTACATTCATTCGTCTTTTTATAATTTTCTGATATGTGGCTACAGTGAACGGTTACAGGGTCTCGCATAAGTATGCTATAAATTCTAATGGTCGACCTGTCACTAGATGGCGCCAGCGTCTCTCTATTGAGTGACTATATATAAAATATTTTAAGTAAAACTAAATGCTATTTGTGTCCAGATTTTGAAATGGTTGATAAGAGATATTATTCTTACAATTTTCTAAGTTTTATTTGTAATCTATTTCAGGTGTTATTGTACTTACTATAAAAAACAATTTTAAGAAGTTTCTGATTAGGTTCAAAATTACTCAAAATTCTTCCAAACTGATTCAGAATATAAAAAAAAATTATATTTTTTCGGAATTATTAGAAATTAGAAAAATGCATATTTTTTATTTTAGAATCTTATTAATATGTTAAGTAGAAGTCTTACTAGTTTAGTGGTAATTTATCTAGATCCAGCCCAGATATCCAGATACTAAATGAAGCATTCGATTGCATTCAAAAGGATATGAGAGTACTTCGTATAGAATCTATTTATTGAGCGCATTGACAGCTTAAGTCGTAATGATTGCTTTAAGTAAATACATTTAAATAAAAAAAAAAAATACATAATACAAATGCTGAGTACTGTTTTTTTTTTGTGCGTACGTTACGTGGTGGATATATGTAGGACACTAGGCAATTATTGGGTAATAGCTAGTTGGTAGTATCCATTGTTGAGCTTAAGTAAAAAATATCAGTTAATATTCACTGGAAGTCCCTTGCGCATTTCGACAATGCTTTAATTACTATATATTTTTAAAATAACTAGACTAAATATGCTATATATATATATATAAAGTATGTGTATAAATCTAGAAAAAGTCTGCTAGAGCATAATTAAGTAGTCGTTAATTAAGTTTACAACATTTCCATGGGTTGGGCTTGCCAAACGTCACGTAGTTATAAATGTTTCACTTTCTTTTCATTTTTTTTTTTTTTTGATAATTGCACAAATAGCCAATTCATTGGATTTCCGGTTTCTTGTTTTACCAATGAAACACACCAATTATTCTACGGTCTTTGAGTATTGAACGTAATACTATATACAACAAAACGATAGACTAAAAACAAAATACAGTTTAACAAAATCACATAAGAAATAAACAAACAAAAAATAAAGTAACGAGTAGAAAGTAGCGGGTAAATTTAATTGGACGGCGCCTACTCGTTAGTTTCAAAAGCACATGTCTGTTGCATGAACGTGTGGCAAAGTAACGAGCACATTTTACTCGTTGCTGCCATTTCGACGAGTACCTAATTGCAACGAGTCACACACAAAAATGTCAATTATTAATTTAAACATAAGTTAAATCCAAAAATTATAACCATTAAGGCAGTGGGATAAAGAAATTTCCTACTAGTTAATCAGTTGCATTTGACTTAACACTAAATATTTATAAGTACATAATATCTATAGAACTAAACGTAAGGCTTTATGGACGGAATCTTGTTGAACTTATTGCTCTAACTGTAAATATTTCGCTTAACTAACGAATTTTGCTAAATGATGCGCACTAAAGAGCCTTAAGGATTAGTATTAACTATTATGCGTTTTGAGTGTTTCAAGTTCTGGCCAAGGGCGTAAGCAAAATATGATTGCAGAGGGGTTGGGCGTTAATATATTTATTATATAATATCAAATTTTTTCATGAAATGTGTTTTGTATTTAAGGAGTTATTCGTTTTTTAAATTAACTGCAGTCATTTGCCTTACACTGCTTACCCCTTTTGCACACACTCTGCCTACGCCCATGGCTCTGACAAGTGCTTAGCATTAAGTAGATTAGTATTTTACAGTTGTTTGTTTTGTTTAAGGCACGCTCTCTTTCTCTCTCTCTCTCTCTCTCTCTCTCTCTGTCTTCCTCACTCACACTGTGTCTCTCAGTTGATCCTAGGCTTAAGTCTTTACGTTGCGGTTTGCGCTGGCGGCAGGCTCTTGCCCTCCGACACCGAGTACATGGCCGGCGGTGATGGGGATGGCGATGGCGAGATTTGTATCTCGTTTTTGATGATGACATCATGCTGCAAACTGAGCATGGCCGCTGCAGCCGCTGTGGGCGTGGCTGGCGTTGGCTCCATATCCTGGTCCTGCTCTGGCTCCTGTTCCAGCTTGACAACATCCGGCAGCAGCAGAGCGTTGTCCTGACAGTCATAGGGCGACTGTTGCTGCTGCTGCTGATGGTGCTCTTCCAGCTGGCGCTGCATCTGCTCCTGCTGCTCCAGTTGCTGCTGCTGCTCCAGCTGCTGTTGTAAGTGTTCCTGCTGCTGCTGTTGCTGCTGCTGATAGAGATTTGTGTGCATATCGCCCGCTGCCGCCGCGGAGATCAAATACTTGAGCGGGCTGAAGGCGCCGATATCTTTGGGCGACGTAAAATTCTCATGCGTCATCTTCAGATGATTCTTCATTTTGTCCGGCCGCGAGAATTCCTTGCAGCACACCGGACAGGGAAACACCTTGCGATGCTTGCCCTCGTGATAGAGAAACGCGTGCCGCTGGAAGCTGTACTTGTTCTTGAAGGTCTTCTGCATGTTCTCCTTGGCGCATTCGGTGCACCGATAGACGCCCTCGACAACGCTCGCATAACGAAACAGATCCAGTCCGCGCACCGACATCTCGGTCAGATGCTCCGCCTGGTCGTCCAGCGTGGACTGCGCTTTGCGTCGCACACGTCGTCGCTGTATGGGTCGTTTGGGCGTGGCAGGCGCAGTGGCAGCCCTCGCTGCGGCGGAGTTCTCATTGTTGGTCAGCGGCGGCTCCTCAAAGCCCGGCAGTCCGGCATTCTCATCCGCCAGCGTGAGCAGCTCATGATCGGTTTCATCGCATTTGTCCGGATTGTTATCGACCACGCACAGCAGCTCCAGCTCCTCATCCACATAGTGTGCTTCGGCTGGCGGCGAAGCATGCGGCGGCGGCGCTGGCGCCTGCTGCTGTTGTGCCTGGTAATAGTCCGCCTTGAGCAGCGGATTCCCTGTGGCGGCCATGTGCAGCAGCAGCTGTTGCTGCAGGCTGGCATTGTGATTGTCGTTGTTGTTGCCGCTGTTGTTGTTGTTGCTGCCGGGCGTCTGCTGCGCCTGCCGCTCCGCCGCATTGGCCAGCGACTGCAACGCGCTGCAGCTGCTCTCCTGCTGCTGCTGCTGCTGCTGCTGCATCTCCATGGCATCATCCGCCGACAACGGCAACGGCGTTGGCACCGCCAGCGGCACCATTTCCGGATCCTTGGCCCCACCGCGCAGCTGCTGCTTGAGCAGCGAGTTGTTGTTGTGCTGCCCTCCCGCCGGCTGATTGCTTGCATTTATCGCGCGTATCTTCAGGCCCAATATGGTGGGCAGATGCAGTGAGGCGGCAGCGCCACTGTCGCCACTGGATTCGCGTCCGTTTGGCGACTCTGTTGCTGTTGTTGTTGCTGTGGTTGTTGTTGTTGTTGTTGTCGCTGTGCCAGGCGAGATATGCGTGGACGTGCCGAAAAGTCGCTGCGAGAGCTCGGGTGTGGCGGTTTGTGCTGTGGTTGGGATCGGGAATACGAAATGTTAAAAAGCATGTAACTAAGCGGAAAGCATGAGTATTCTAGTTGGGTGTGCCCGACTGCATGATACACTGTAACCATCTTTCTTTTACACACACACACACATCATGTGTGTTTCTTCTTCTCTTAACCGCAGCTTATATATGGGAAATGCTTTCTTGATCAGCTTCGGTGTTTGAGGTCCGATCTTTGTGCAATTTTCAGGGCTTAAACATGACATACAAAGCTGTCTATGTACCAAAGCCCAAGGTTCTACTTTTATTTTGTTTATTTCTGGCAAAAAGGGGTTAAGGTAACTCAAAAGAGAAATTTGTTATTTAAAAAGTCAAATAGGAGCTGCTTACCAAAATTAAATTATCTGCTATCTTATCTAAAAATCGATACTTATCGATTTCGTGTAAATAAGTCTATCGATTATTTGAAATAAACTAGAGCTGATCTTAACGATCGTTTCATTTTATTAATCGTTATTTAACTGGATCGAGGTCCAAATATATCCCGATTTATTTAGCTTTTAGTCTCAGAGTTTAGACTCGGCTAAGAATAAACATGATCGGGAATATATATATTCTTAAAAAGATCGCAGAAGCTTCCTTCTCGTGTTATAAACATTAATACAAAAACAATTTACCCATTTTGGGATATATATAAAGAAATTAATTAAAACTCAAACAACTTGTTTCTTTTTCAGAATTGTTTTTTTTTTTTTTTGCGTGTGTGTGTGTGTATTTTATTTCTCTTCACATTTGTCAGTTAATCGATATATAATAATCATTTATCGTATTTCGTAATCAAATATAACAAAATATGTTTTCTTTTTAAATGAATAATATTGCGTGATTTACTAAAATTGATTAATTTTACAAGCTTAATTGTTGTTTATTTTTTTTTTATATTTTTGCATTTTTGCTAAACCTGCGCTAAGGCCACACACGCATGTGTGTCTGCGTGTGTGTGTGTGTGTGTGTTTGTTGTGGGTATTAGCACACACACACACACACACATTACATTTGCCTTTCAACCATATTTAACTGTGCAACAAGCTCTGTTTAATATAACTTTATAATCTTTTTCTTTTGTTGTTTTCTTTGGGCATCAAAAGCATGACTGTTTAATTATAATATATATATATATTATATTATGGAAGGGATTTGATAATAAAAAATATAGTTTTTCGAGTTGGAAGTTTGTTTTATCTTTTTACTTGTTTAGGCGTGGAAATTGTTAGGGGTGCTCCCTCTTTTCTTTATGCGTGTGTGTGAGTGTGTGTGTGTGTGAATGCAAAATAAACATATTTGTATATAAAACGTAAACTAAAATTAAAGTTTAAATAAAGTACATACAATACAAATACATATTGTACATATATATATATATATATATATATATATATATATATATATATATATATATATATATATATATATATATATATATATATATATATGTGTGTGTGTGTGTGTGTGTGTGTATAGCTGTGTTAATGCCAAAAGAAAATAGATATATGTATGCATATATATATATATAGTTATTGTTGGGGTTATCGTATCTGTTGCGATTGTTGGTGGATAGAGCGTTTACTTAACTAAATTGCACTAGCTAACACTAAATAAAGAATTAAAAACAAATTATATTTAATAAATTATTGTATTTAATTATTAATGTTTAATTAATAGCTGTTTTGATTATTCTTGTTTTGTTTTTGTTTCCGATGCCAACAAAAATTGGAGCTGTATTTGTGTTTGTTTATTTACTTTTTTTTTTTTTTTTGAATGCAACAAATTCAATTTCAAATTCAATTTTTTACTCTTTGCTTTTAAACTTTTTTCAAGTTTTGTTTTTTGTTTTTGTTTTTGGAGATCGCGTTTATTCATATTTTGCATTTGTTTTTATTTGAATTGTTTATTTTTGCTGCTGCTTTGTTGAATGTACATGTTTTTCGTTTTATTTATTGTTTGCATTTTGTTTTTATTTTTTTGTTTTTTTTGTTATTTTTATTAATTTTTCTTTTGTTTTGCTTCATTTCTTTGGCGATAATTTAAGCCTCCGATATACAATATAAATTTTAATTGTTTTTTTTTTTTGCATTTTAAATGTAATTATGTAATAAATTGATAAATTATTTGCATAGTTATTTTCTGTTGCATTATATAATAAACATAATCATATTTAATTCATTATCATGTTAATTATTGTATTTAATATTGTATATAATATATATTAATGTTGCTTTTAAAATTAGTTTATTAACATTTAACGTGGACGCACACAAATCGCAACGAAACATTTGCAATCTCTCGTTGCGATTTGTGTTGCATGTTTTATTCAATTTGTTTGTTTTTTTTTTTCTTGCGATTTTCGATTTTGGTTGGGATCAGAGCCAATCCAACTTTTCTTTCAACTAGCTTCATTTGAAGGCAACAAGGTAGAACTGCGCTACGCTTTTCACACATATTTATAAACAAATTTAAACGTAAAACAAAATGATAAACATTATGTTTAGTTTTATATATATATGAATATATATATATAGGGTATATATAAATTAATTAATAGAGCTATAGCTACGCATACCAAAGACACATGTGCACATGTTTATGGATTATTATATAAATATATATATATATGTGTGTATATTATATGTATATATATATAGTTAGCATTTGTCATTAACTAAAATTTAGTTTAGTTTAGTTTTTTTTTTTTTGTAGTTTTTAGTTTTTTATTGCAACTTGGAGCGTTACAAGGATGTGCTTTATAAGGCCGCCGCGGTGCTGCATTCATTTTATCAAAAATAATATGCAAATGCCAAAATTTGCATTTCTTGTTTTTATAACTAACATTATTCTTTAATATTATTAATTAATTAATTAATTAATTATAAAATGTATTTGCTTTATATAATGTTTAAACTAGTTTGAATATAATTGCACAACATAAGTTCGTATAAAAAAATTAAAAGAAAATTATATATATATATATATATATACATATATATATGTATATGTGTATTCATATATAAATATGTATATGTAGATAGAAAGAGAGAGAAATTCTTCATGCTGTTTTTCTTTTTCTTTTCTTTTAACAAAGCCAAGTAAATAACTAAAAAACAAAAATTAACAAATTTGAAATGTTAACGGCCTCTGCTAAAAAAAAAACCCGCCCCTAGTCTATACATAATCCCCACCCTTTCCCCCCTACCCCGCAAGCCACAACCTAACCCCCCACTTAAAGCACATAAGGCACACGTAGCGCCTGGCGCTGCCTCAGGCTTTTCTTACATTCTCTTTTGCTTTTTCTCTTTCTTTTAATAGTTTTCATTTTGGAATATGCGGCTCTGTGTTTGTGTTTGTGTGTGTGTGTGTGTGTGTGTGTGGAGATTACTGCGCCGCGGCAGCAGCCGCTGCTGCCGTTGCCAGCGGCCCCAACGAGCCGCTGGACGATGATGTCGACGACGATGATGAGGTGGATAATGCATTGTTGCTTGTCGCCGGCAGCGATTGATTCGAGTTCTGTGCATTCAAATCCGGCGGCGTGGCTGTGCCAACGGCCACGCCCAGGCCCGATTGATTTGCCAAACTCGCAGCTGCCACATTGGCGAGCGCTGTGGATGGATTCTCGATTTTGTGTATGATCTTAACATGCGCCGTCATGTTATCCTTGCGCGTGAACTCCTTAAAGCAGAACGGACACGGATACACCTTGACGTTGCGCTTGTGCGAGGTCACATAGTGCCGACAGAAGTTGCTAATGTGTGTATAGACCCTGGAGCAGACTTTACAGCGATACGTATGCTCGCCCTCTTTGGTACAATAGTCGCGCACAGAGCCCTCCGTTTCGCCCTCGCCCACATTGCTGCTGAGATTGAGTTTGGTTTTTACAGTGGGCGTAACGGATATGCTGCCCGCGCCACCCGCACTGCTGCTGCTCAAATTGGGCGTGCTGCCGCCCAACAGCTCCGATTTGAGCTTAAAGCCATCGCTGCTATTGTACAGATCTAGATATTCCTGCCCAGCGGCAAACACACTCTTAACATCGCCATTCTGCTTCAGTTTGGGTCGCTTCTGTGCACGCGGCTTGGACGAGGATGACGAGGCGGGCGACACCAGCGGCGTCGATGCGGCATTCACCTTGCCAATCGGCGTCAGCTTCGGTATGCTGACCATCGACTTGCCGCCACCCGCTGCACTAGCTATGCCAATGATGTTGAGCTTTAAACCACCGCCGCCGCCTGCGCCGCCGCCGCCAGCTGTTGTTGAGGCAGCCAGCGCCGCGGTTTCCGCCTGATGTTTCCGCTGTGCTGCAATGAGGAATGCCTGCTGGCGCGCCTGCTCGTTGATGTGTTGATTGTCCGCTGATGGGTTCTGATCCTGCGACGGTGAGCTGTCCGTTAGGGGATTATATTTAAATTCCACGGGCTCATCGTATTCATCCAGCATCAGTTGCGGCTCCATATAGGATGTATCCAGGGCCTCGCCATCGCTGTCATTGCCATCTAAAAAATGTTTATTTCATTAATTGACTGTTGTGCTGTGATGAGTGTGAGTGTGTGTTTGGTGTGTGTGTGTGTGTGTGTGTGTGTGTGTAGTATGCAAAAGAAAGGCAAAAACACAAATGAACGAAGTTTCAAATCGGTTCGGAAAAGCTATAGGGATTTTCAAGCCATATTTCAACACTCTAGCAAACGCGATACGAAAACAAAATTGGTTTTTGCTTTTTGTCAGCATTTTCCATGAATTTTCATCAGCTGGAGTTTTTCTTTTTAGGTGTAACGTTTTTCTTTGGTTTTTTACGCTTTTTGTTTTTACGCGGTTTCTTTTTGCATTTTTAATTTTCAGCTACAAAATTTTGTTCAATCTATTTTGTTTAAGATTTATTTCAAGCGTCGGCCTTTAATCCCTGTGAGCTTCAACCCGATTATCAACTTGACTAATTAACTTTGATTTTCATTTTTCTTGTTCTTTGTTTTTTTTTTTTTTTTTTCTTCTACAGCATTTGTGGATTTGCATTTCTTTGGCATCGTACTAGCGTCTGTTTCTTGTTGATGTTGTTGTTGTTGTTGTTGCATTGGATACACTCACCTGGCGCTCGCAGGATGCTTCAAACCCACACAAAAAAATGCGAAACTCAGCAAATGCGCGTTCATAACGAATTCGTGTACACACTACAAAATTGAACTCAACTTTTCTCACATTTTCTTTTTTTATTTTATTTTTTTTTTTTGGTTCTGCACACCGACGCGAGAAGAAAACGTTTCGTTTTTCTTTTCCTTAGTTTTATTTAATTTTATTTTTTTAATATGAAATGCGTAAATCCCTTTTAGCTTTTCCGATAACACAATTCGAAAATGTTTGCAAATGAAGTTGTTCGAATGTTTTTCGAAAGTATTGCGAATGTTTTTCGAAAGTTTTTCGAATGTTTTTCGAATGTTACGTATTTGTATTGATTTCTTGTGCTGTGTTCCTGGATTTATTGTGATGTTAACTTGATAAGCTGATCTGTTTTGATCGTATCATTAGACTGATTGATTGATTGATTGATTGATTGATGGTGTTTTGCTTAGGACTAGCATAATAAATGTTAAGCTTAGACTAAGGGTTAGTATTGGACAAATCTTGCGCTTTACAATGTTCTTCTTGTGCATTGTTTCATAAATGAGCATGAAATGAGAGAAAAACTGAAACATTTTCCACTCACCGGAAGTGCTGTTGTCGTCTTGTTGTGCCATGCGCTGCTCTTTCCCGCTCTTTGATCTCTTTGTGGGCAGCGAGTCGCGGCTTTCCTGCAAAAGTGAAAAGGCGGTCAAAAGCCCAATCATTAGCCACAATCAACAACAAAAAAAAGAGGGCAGAAGCGGGCCACACTTACATTCAGATCGTCATTGTGCGCAGATTCTTGCTGATTGTCATCGGAGCCATCATCGTTGCCGGAATACGACTCATTGCACAGCTTGCCATTGCCCATATCCGAGTCCTATTTAGTAAATTGGGTTCAAATTAATAAAGACTCAAAGCAATGCACGTCTATAAGTTGATTCGCACAGTCTAAGCCCTTGCAGCAAGTACTTTAACAATTAGAACATTCTCATTCTCTACACTAATATAACTACAAGCTGCTAGGGTATTTGAACTGCGTGCACTTATTGGTTCTTTCTGCGCACTTACATTCATGAGGCCCTCGCGCTCAAACTCGTCGTAATCGTTGCCGGTGCCATTGGAGCTGCCGGAGAGCTTGCGGGGTCTGCCCCGTTTACGTTTGGGCATCAGGGCGGTGCTGAGCAGCGACGGCTGCTGCTGCTGCTGCTGGTGCTGTTGATGCTGCTGCTGCGTGGCAGCTGCTTGAAGAGCGGCCGCTGCGACATTGGCAGACAGCACATTTGGCTGTTTGCGCTGCTGCGGCACCAGGTACGGCTGTATGCGTTGCAATTGGGGCGGCGCTGGGGCGCTTTCTGCTGATGTGGGCTTGTCATCGTTGACCTCGGTCAGGCCCTTGATGCGGAGACTCTCGGCGACGCGCAGAAAGGCGGTGAGTCGCTCCTGATCGACAGACACCTCGCCGCGATACATGAAGTCCAATAGCGATTTCATGTCCGAATAGGGCACATCCTTCAATATGACAATCGGATGCTTTTCCGGATGATTGACAAACAGTGCATTGAAATATGGACTGCAGGCGGATAGCACCATCTGTCAAATACAAAACTAATGTTAGTTAAACATACTAAGTTCCCAGTTGATATGCCTCAATACTACAGCTAGACTAAGGCCCCCCACACGTTCAATTCATTCATTTAATTACCTTGTGCGCCTTCAGGTATTGTCCTTCGACGGCCAGCGTCACATCTGTAAAGGTTTCCGCGTGCAGCAGCTGATCAAAGACAGATAACAGATTGCTCTGATGATTGTTCCAGCGCAAACAAAACCGTTGAGATGCCATCTTCATTTGGAAGCCGTTTTTGGGGTTTTTTTTGTATTTTTCTTTTTTTTTTTCTTTTTTTAATTGTCAGTTGAATCGTTCCTTCAATTGGCGTGGAACTAACTTGGTTCGGACAATAAATTCCTTGCCTGTGTTGTTGTTTACGTATTGCATGCAATTGGTAATTCTCTATTTCATATACAAATATATCCTTGACGTCCTTTTTAGTTGATTAGTTGCCTGACATTTTGACGTTAATATCAAAGAATGCTGCAAAGGAATTCAGAGATTTCAAAGGAAACCAATTAGTTTAAAATAATGAGAATGCTAACGAGTTATTTTGTTATAGCTGCAAATTCAAAATACTTTAACAAATATGTTTTGATCTTCACATAAATGTATCCAAGTGCATAAAAGCCCTGTTCCAAAGTTACGAATCCTTGTTCAAACCATGTCAAAAGGATGGGTTCAAGGAAATTGGTTTAACGGCTGGCGGGGAGCCTACAATGAGCTTGAGCCGAGCTCTGAACGCTTCGTCACTCGCTCATAAATTAAATGCAAACCAAATTTAATTTAACAGACGACCCGCCAGGTCAAATAGACGGCAAAGGTCTGAATATTATGCAGGCAGCGGCAGCAGCAGCGGCAGCTAGGCAGGCAGGCAGGCAGGAAAACAAAACGAAAAAATACAACAACAAAAAAAAAACAACTAAATGAGGAAATCTAAATGGAAATTTCAAATGTGTTTCAAATGGGCAAATTACAACAATAACAACCGCAGCAGAGCAGCAACAACAATAATACACCCACACACACACACAGACACAGACACAGAGCACGCACCGATCACAGCGCCTCGACTGGCATGTGTTTGTTTATGTGTGTGTGTGTGCGTGTGAGTCTTCGAATATGCTTGCCTGTTGCACGACCCAGTTGAAATGGCTAGCATGAAAAGGCACAGTGAAATTCACATGCACACAGGGAAATTTAGTACTCAAGTCAAATTTCCATTCAATATGAATGTCGCAGGTGACATAAGAGTAGCAAAAACTCATTATCAAAATTTAAATATACAAATTTTCAAAGAAATATGTTTGTTTCTTTATTTCTATATGTAAATTTTAAACGTAATATTTGTAGCAAAAGGGTCTAGTCTAACAGTGGAAGAACAAAGTACCATATTGGTGCATTTTTAGTACTGTGGCAACCTTGGGTGTTGCCTTCATTACGCACTGCTTAGTTTGAATGTTGGCATCCATTCACCATTATTATTTCAAACTATGAAAGGAAGTTTGCATAAAATTTCCCAGTTATATTGATGAATTGCTTGAAGTGCTGCCGCTGCTGGGTTTTTGTGGGACGATGTGCGCCTGCGTGCGTGTGTGTGTAGACTTGAAATTTTGCCAAAGGGTGTGGAAGCTTAGAGAAACAAATTAAAGCGAAAACACACACACACACACACACACACAAACGCACGTACACAGCTTTAGCAACAGGCACGTAAATTGTGTAAAGGAGAATCAGCAAAAGTTTACACAGCAACAAAACTCATTAAATTTTCGTATAGCTGAAGTGGCAAAAGTAAAACTTGGTAGAACGCTCCAGATCCGGCATATCCAAGTAGCTGGAGACACACACACACAAGCGCGGGCGCGCACACGTTGATAAATATTGTTCATAGCACTTATCACTTGATTTATTTTGCCTTTTTTTTCTTGCTTTTGTTGAAACTCCTTAGCATGCTCGCACACTCTCATGCACACATACATGCGCGGCAGACACATACACATGCTCTGTCCGTTTTCCTTGCCCCTTGCACTTGTTGCTTATGTTTGCCAACGCGCTCTCCTTATCTTATCGCACGGCTCTGCTTTGTACACTTAATTTAAAATCATTAATTTTACAATTTCACTTGCTGTCTAATTATTACACATGCCTTTCGCTTTTTGTTTATGCTTTTGCTCATTTTCTTTTCTTATTTTCTTGTATTTTGTTATTGCAATTTTCGTAGTAATTGTTATTGTTTCGTAGTGCACTTGTTCAAATTAATTGAATGGGCTGCCAGTCACTCAAACTAAAATCTCAGAGAGCGCGAGAGTGAGCGTTAGACACTTGCCGCATATTTCTACATAAAAACATTGTCGCTCTCTTACTCTTACACACACACACACACACACACTACTGCGAATGGCAGCGGAGAGCTTTTAAAGTTCCATCGCAGCTTTTGCAGCAGTAAAAAAAAAAAATTTGCTTCGCTGATCTAGCGCAGTGGCATTAATAAATAGTTTTTGTTTGTGCGCTTTCATATGTACGTGCATATATTTTTGAAAGAAACAAATTGTGTTGAATTTATTGTTTATAAATATTGAACTTTTTAAAACAAGTGAACTTCTTACATTATGCACATTGATAACTATTTAGTTTATATTCTGCTGAGTTTTAAGTTACGCTTGCCGCTGACACGTCCTCACTTGAGCGGGCCTCACGAGCGAATGAGCGAAGTCAAAACGAATGAAATGAACAAGTCAAAGTCCTCGCGCAGGAAGCCGACTGCGCAGCCCCGACACGCACGCACGCACACAGGCACACACAGGCACATACACACACGCACACGTTCAGGCACACACGGATAGGGCGCATGATAAGCGCTCGTTGCTAAGGGGTGGGAGGCGGGCCTGCGGAGATCACTTTACATGCGCTTATTTTTACACCCCCTTGCGATGGCAGTCGCAGCACACACACACACTCACACACACACACAGTCATGCAAACATATACATACGTAAGCTATATGTTTGTATATGTATATGTGTATTTTCAGGCACTTTTGGGACATGCGCGACTTTTGATTCAATGGGGGCGGCTGGCATTGGCAAAATAATTTTCACGTACTTATTTCACATTTCTTTCTATATGCACCTTTCTTTATTGGCTTCCGTTAACTGCTGACGCCTGCAGTTTTCCTTTGCTTAACTTTTACTTGTATGTTTTTGCACGTTTTGTTTAATTTTAACTTTGAAACTGCTTGTTTTTCTTGCCGTTGTCGGTGCCCAAAATTTCCAAATGGAAATTTTCACAATTTGGTGCGAGTGAGAAAGATAGAGTGGGAGAGGGGGCGCGACCGAACGAACGAGCGAAACGCAATGAAAATCTCTTTGCCGCCAAATTCGTCCGTCTCGTTTGACACCAATACACTGACTGAGCGATCCTCGGCTCCTAAACGACGAGCCAAGCGACGACCGAGGCCTCTGCTGCTGCTGCCGCTGTTGCTGCTTCTTCTTCTTCTACTTGCCCGCTTATTAGCTTCTTGCTACACACACATAGACAGCAATCCTACATCCGTCGGTCGCAGTTGTGTAGTGCGCCAGCTGCGCTGCCAGCAGCGCAGTCAACGTTACGCTCTCACAAAAGGAACGAACAGTTGATCGCCGAGTCCCCAAGTCTCCAAAATGACGCTCTCTCTCCCTCTCTCTCTCTCTATATATATATATTTCTCTACACTTGTGTTGTTTTCGCTGCTCTGCGCTCGCTCTCTCGCGCAGTCGGACGTCGGTTCGCTGCTTGCGCCTTTGACTTTTTGAATTTTTAATTTCCCTTGCACGCGATGGGGCCTGCGAGGAGGAGGAGGAGGGGACAGACGAACGGACGTGCCGACAACGTTGACGAAACGGGGTTAAAAAGAAAAACATGATGGAAAAAGAAAAAGCTAGAAACAACTTTGGGTGCCGCGCCGCAGCAGCCGTTTTTGTTGCCCTCCATCTTCCTCTCTCTTTCTGTGTGCTTGTAATTGTAAGGGCAATAGGCGGCACTTGGGTTGGGCGGCCATCGGGCTGGTCTGGGGTTGGGCCGCAGCCGCTGTCAATGCCTTTGGTTTTTCCAACTGTGTCTGTGTGTGTGTGTGTGTGGTTGGCTTGGCTTTTGTGGCAATTGGAAAAACATGTGGAAACTTGAGCCAGCGACGCAGGCCTCATACAAAAAAAAAAAACAACAAAAAAAAACTCTAATTGTCTGTGTGTACGTGTGTGCATTTGAAGGAGCGTTTGTGTGTGAGCGCTTGTGTTGGTGTTGGTGCGGTATTACGTAAGCAACTGTAAATTCTACAAGTGAAGCGTACAGGCGAATGACGAATTTTCAAATTGGAATCCTATAAGCGCTGCGCAATTGGATTTCTGTTGTTTAGATATTGTTTGCTAGCAGCTTTTAAGCTGCCAAATGTTGTTTTACCTCTCTCTTTCTACGCTGATCCTACACACCTACACACATACTTGGCTGATGTTGTTCTTTTGGTTTTTGTCTATTCTATACTCTAGGCGTAACGGTGCCCGCCTCTGCCCTTACCGCATGCTCTTACAACGGAAGCGAGTGCTTTGCCTAATAGGCTCTCTCTAACACACAGGCGCACCTAGGCGAAGATCCATGCACACAAACACACACACATACACATATACTGAGCGCCCCAACCCAGGTGAAATAGCCACAAATACAAATACATGCATGTTTAAGTGTGCGTGTGTGTGTGTGTGTGTACACATACAGACTTACAACAACAACAGGGTAGCCACTGAATCGTAAATTCCTGTTGCTGGCTCAGCTCAGTTCGCTGCTGACGTCGCTGCTGCTGCCGCTGGCGCTGTTGTTGTTTGCCTTGCCCTATTGCGTGTTGTTGGTTGGTTTTTATTTTTTTATTTTTTTTTTTTTTGCAGTCTGTTTAATTTTTTCTACTTTTGAGTTGTTGTTTTTCTGGTGGAGCTTTACCACGAACGATCGCAGTGCTGCTGCCCATTGTTACTATTTTTTTTTACATTATTGTTGTTCTACTTAGTCGCTGATCTAATATGTGCGTGCGTGTGTGTGTGTGCGCGAGTGTGTGTCTGTATGTAAATGCAAGCGCTCTAACTTCCTCTTTAACTCCTGCTTTTCTGTGTACTAAAACCTTGAGAGCAGTTTCTTTATGTAAAGCTTAGTTGGTAGCCGTTTAAGACTTTTAAGAGCAGAGCAGAGCTTTTAAGAGCAGCCCGTTAATAGGACTTACATGAATTTTTCCCTTAACAAAGTGTTACTCAATATTTGAAGCCCAAAAGTAGGTTGATGCTTTGCCTCCAGTTTTTGTTATTGTTGTGTTGTCTAGTTTTTATGTGGGGGCTGCTGCGTGACACTTGGGACACACATGGCCCACACAGTCGCACATCGCCCCCACAATCAAAAGCCGATCAGTGTTGTCGTGCGGCGACGACGGCAGCGGCAGCGGCCCAGCCTGCGCCGTCATGGAG